GCAAATCAAGAAACCGTTGTCGTACCTGGCCGCTCTTTCTATGCTTTACTCTTTCATAAATGAAACATTCAGACTTGTTCTTTTTTTTTTTAATATGTTACAGTGGTCAAAATTACATCTTAGTGCACCAACTATATAGCTGTTAGGACAGTCCATCTATGAGCAACCATAATAGACAGATTAAGGAAGTGGTTGAATCCCCAAATCATTGAAAACAGTGGTTCATTATGTCTCAGAATCAGGACCTGTATGCTGATGTACCCTGTATTACTTAGTCTGGTATTGACTAATGCGTGTCCCATGGCAGGAGTCTGCAAACTTCATAAAAATACCAGTGGCGCTGCTGTTTAAAGAAAGGAAGAAAATCTCTTGCTATCTGAAGTAACAGTGCATTGGATAGACAGACTAATTATCCAGGTTAACCTGATAAAGGGATTAGTCTTAATACCCTTCTCCTATGGGAAGTACAAACAGGATTTCTTGTGACAAAAGTGAGAGAATTTGGTTTCTGTTCAATATGTGAGATGAAGTCTCTGCTGACGAGGTACCCTTTAGTGTTCTGGGATAGTCATTAAACAGCAATTCAGAGGAAAGTGTCCTAACCCCTGAACTGGTACCCCTCCTTTCTGTGGCACTCTGTGCTATTCCCTTCCCTGGAGATGTGCACCCTGACACTTACCAAAGGGAACCACTGGAATCTGACATACCAGCACCTCAGTGCTTCGTGTCTGTTAAGGTCTAAATTGTCTTCTGACAGTAAGTTGTAAAAGTTTGTGTATTTCGGTGACTCAGTTAGATGATTCAGTGGGCAGAAAATAATGTAATGAAGTTGATAATACAGTAATAAATGTGGGCATACACAAAGGTTGAAATTACTATATTTGCATCATAAATCATGATGCACGCATAACTCATGTATCTAAATGTCTTCTGCTGACACATACTGCTAATGCACTTTAAATGTTACTCCCTCTGAAATGCGATGCTTACCTTCATACTGTTATATTCAGGTCATGTTCCTTTCCATTTCTTGATTGTTCTATGGAGAAGACTGTCACTCCATCATTCTCCTTTTGTGTAATTAGTTCCATGTCATCTTTTTCCTAATTATTATTATTAATGAGAAAATGCTGCTAATCAAATATTACTTTCATTTGTGATTACACCAAAATCTAAATTCCAAAGCTCAATTCCATTTCAACAGTTTAAAGTTTTTCCTGCTGGCTTGCTTTGATGTAGTCGGGAATAAAAAAAAGATGGAGTTTTTTATTTCTGTCTTCTGTTGTTGCTGTTGTCCTTTAGCACAAGGGAACAGGAGCAATTTAGACCCCTATTAAGACTTCTCTTTGGAAGATGAGCTTAGAGAAGCAGAGAACTTCTGGAGAATGAGTTCAAAACTTAATAGCACCAGGCTGTTGTAATTACATAGCATATGGTGACTAAAACAAGACTACACAAAATATTAATAATGTAAACTGTACAAGGTGCTGTGAAAGCATCTCTTAGAATACGTAATTCTTTCACAGGTTTAAATGTATGCACTTTACTTTTAAGGTTTTATTTTCTAAAATTACTTTTGAGTTGCTTTATTTCATTTATAGGTCCAAACAGTGGAAGGCGAGATGGAAGATTTTCAGAGGCAGCTTTCAACTCCCCACAAGGGATCGCTATAAAAAATAATGTTATTTATGTAGCTGATACAGAAAATCACCTAATTAGAAAGGTAAATTTTCCATAAGGAAATTCAAAATTTAATCTCTTATACCTTATTCTACTTACACAGGTGAAAATTTACACCAAATTAATTACCCTCCAAATACCCTCAACATCAGGAAGGAAGTTTGGCCTAGTATCTTACAAATAAATGCTTTGTGCATTTTGTTTTTTAAAGTTCTACATACACTTTTGTGCTTCCTTTCAAATGAGGATGATATGCACTACTCATTCTAGCATAACTGATGTTTTTTTTTTTTTCTTCTGTGACTCTTACTTTCCTGTTATGAGAAACATCTATTCTTAGTACTGGAAGCAAAAATTGTTTTTGTTTCACTTCCAGTAGTATCAGATTCTTATCTGAAGTTATTGTACTACTATGGTCCAGTGAATACCTAAACTTTTGTTAGCTGTTTGGGTCTCTAAAGTACAGGTAACTGCTTTAATTTCAGAATTGTCTGCATGTGGATATCTTTTGATGAAACTCCTGCAAGCTTTTAGCAAGTAGGAATGTTACTCTTTATATATAATTGTCATTGGACCCTACATTTGTTTAGGTCAAATTTAGAATAATCAGAGTTAAGTTTGTTGAAGCAATATAATGTTACCTTATTACTAAAAGTATTTTTATGCATCTCAGAAGATCTTGTACTCAGAGCCTCATCAATATGTCTGATTCATGATCAGAGGAGGTACATCCTTATTCAATTTGGAATGCCTTTGTACTGTTAAGTAGGTTCATTCTGTGTTTCATTTCAAAGCACTAGTCCGCAAACTGCCTGCTCTGTATATATTGTAGTTGGCTACCAAATTTTGTTCTGGAGAGGACCAAGGCTCTCTGTTGGTAAAGAAACATTGTTACTAAAAATAAGTAGATTGCTCCAGTTCCTCATCTTACTGATATTTATCGCTGTTGCCTGGTGACCATAGGAAATTAAGTGTTGCAGGTAGCAAATACAGCACAGAAACATCTGAATATCAGGATCATACTGCTTCAGCATTGTTCATGATAGTTAGCTGTTCCCTTTCATGTAAATGTGCCGTGAGCGTATCCAAGAATTAAAGTAATACAACAACTACAGGACATGCTTTCAAATGTTTGTGCAGGCCGTGGGCCTTGCAAAAAGAATGCATTTACTGCTACAAAAGTTAGAAGATGCTATGCGTGAAAGACTCCCTTTTTACATGATCATCACAATAAATTCATGAGAGGTATTGGAAGTCACTTAGAAAATAAGCAAAGGGGAAGGAAGAATAAAGGGATTTAGGTTGCAGGAATGAAATAAAATAAAAACAGTTTTTGCTCCAGGGCATGAAATAAACTGCCAAAAAAAATCGTTTTGTACAGATTATTTTATATAGAGATGGGAGATACTGTTACAGTATCTGAATTTTTATGTGATATTCTTATAGAAGTTAAAAATAAAACATCCATATCCATTGTCCATCTGAGTATTTCTCTAGAAAATTTTGATGCTTTTTCTACAACTGCTGAGCAAACCTTGAAGAGCAGTGTTAATTTTTGTTGTTTGTGGAAGAGAATTCCAGGCACGTAGTTTTCCTGCTGCCCACTGCTTCCCCCTTACCCCCAACATCAGCAAGCATTGTGGTAAAATTATTTTCCTACGTAAACAAATACCTGAAATTTATTAGGATTTGGTTTTTATTTGTCAGCAAAAACTCTGTTTCTGACATCTAGCTCAAATTATCTGTAACTTCAGTCAAGTTAATGGTGTACATTCAGCATGTATAATTTTGCTTCTTGTAGATTGACCTGGAATTAGAGATGGTGACCACTGTAGCAGGCATTGGGATACAAGGTGTTGATAAGGAAGGTGGAGCAAAAGGAGAAGAACAGCCTATCAGCTCTCCGTGGGATGTGGTCTTCGGAAATTCAAGTATTGTATCAGTTAAACTTTTAACATCTCATATTTATACATGCATACTGTTTGCTAAATGTTTTCCTCTTTTGGTAATAGTCTGAGCTGTGAAAAAGTAAAGGCTTAGTTTACAACTGAGTCTAAAAAACAGTGCTTTCATTTGCAAGTGATAACTGCAGTTCTGCTTTGGATCCTGAAGAAATGCGAACTGCTACTTGATGTGAAGAAAAATTCTTCTGGAGCAAGTTATATAGTTACTGGGTCCAAATACAGAGGGAAATTGTGATTGCTTTTGTTAGGCCAGTGCTTTATGCCAGGATCACTTAAGAGGCAGATACATTTTACAGGAAATGGGCATTGTCTAGAAGTTCCTTTCCTTGACTATACAGACATGTCTGACCACTTGTAAATATTTGAGTTTAGGAAACAAAAATTATTTTAGCTGGGGAACTCTGTTGATTCCTGTTTAGGTGACGTAAAATCATTGGACTCAAGATCATGATAGAGTCAATCCGATAGAAATACCTCAGAAAAAAACCTTGCAAGCATCAGGGGGTAAAAATTAAATCTTTGCATAATAGGATGCAAGAATCAGCTTCTGAGGATTTAAGTAGCTTTCTTTCCTGATGCACTTAACACCCACCTGAGCTTGACATTGCGTAACTGCCATGTTTTCAACTGTTATTAACTGTGAGTTGATACTCTATTTTCTCATGTTTTCATTTCAATATAATTTAGAAGTTCTAGTTGCCAGTTTCTTAACATGCTTTAATGGGGCATAAAACCCTTAAGTCAGTATTGCAGGCATAAAAATTGACTTCCAATATTGGGATTTCTTGAATCTTCAGATGAAAGGGTTGGGGAAGTATCATGATTTAGGTCTGATATCTTTAAATTAGAGGTGCTTTACAAGATTAGTAAATTTGAACATTTTACTGACCTAGAAGGATTTGTTACAATCTTGGGTCAGTTATGAGGGAGGAAGACACACTCAAATTAAGTTTAAGGGAACATGAAACTGCTTCATAAAAATGCTGATCGTATAGAAGTCTTCTGGTACAAATACACTGTCAGTATAGACAGTGTACCACCAGCAGCCTTGACTACTTAAATAAGCAACTAGCATCAATTTTTAGATTTAACACTTTTTGTAACATGTCTTCTACAAAGGGCACTTTTTTGAAAGGCTCTGTCAATGACCCTTACAATCTATGTTAAGCATATGGAATGGTACTTGCAAGAGAAAGGAGTACCTGAAAGAGAATCTCACCAATGTGGGTTGCTATTTAATGAAGGCATGAGTTTTGCTGAATTTTATCCAATCTGATTTTCCTTTTGTGAACCAGTAGACTGTTCTGTGACTAGAGGGTATAGTTTTCAAGGCATCTTGAACCACCAAGCTGATCTCCATGTGATACTATTGCAGAGCTGTTTCACAGATTAGCAAAGGAGGAGACTAATAACTCATCAGTGCCTCAGAAACTTCAGCTGGTTAACAGAACTATTCAAAATATCCTATAATTTTACTTTTCATCTTTCATGATGCTTTCTTCTGCTTCTGCCAGTAGTTGAATATCTGTTGATACTTTTTATTTTTGAGAGCTCTGCTTGTTAAATATTAATTGATATGATTGTTATCAACATGAACATAATAATCACTGAATTAGTCACCTGTAGAGGATTAGTCATCTGCACTGTTCAGCACTGACTGCTGAATTTTTATAAGCATTTACATAAAAATCAGGTCTTCTGAATGCACTCTGTTCAGACCAGTATAGATTTTTTTCATATTCAATTAGAAGCTACCAGTCAGTTGTCTATTTAGATTGCTACAAAATATAATATAACCTGTCAATTAAGAACAGCTTAAATCAATTTAAACTCCTTCTTTGAGAGGGTAATAGGACAAATAGATAAAAT